AGCCATTTTCTTTATCGTGATTAATTTCTTTTTCTTTTTTTTTTTTTTTTTGGTTACTATAGAATTATTATCACTTATAACGCTGTCTTAATTGGCACGAATAAATTCTCTTGGGACTTGCGGGGGAAAAAAGAGGATTTGGAACGAAGACGGGAAGGTTAATTGATATTGATTGCGTCATTAATTAAGCAACGAAACGCAAACGCAGTAAGTGAAAAACTCGGTTCTCATATTTTTTTTACTTCACATTTATTATTTGTACGTATCTTTCTTCCTTTCTTTTTCAAATCCTCTTTTTCTCGAAAAACGTTTGATTAATTGATTATATGACTCGAGGGATTTAAAAAATATTTTATTTTTCTCGATGATAGAAATAAAACGTAATTCCGTGAAATATTTGGAAAAAGAGGATGCAATATAAAGAAAATAAATCGTTCGAGTAAATTTTATGAAATCAATGAATCGTTTCGAAGGAAAATAAAAGAAACTTTTGTTCGCGCGATAAGTCAAAAGTTATTTTCACCCAACTTTTGAAATGCATTGAGAAGAAGATAGTAAAATTATTGAAATTATTGATGAGGAAAATATCAGAAATTAGTAAGAATCGATCATGTGAAATACAAACTTTGTTGTTGTCGAATAATATTTTTAAACAATTCCAATAAAAACTCGATATTTTCCAAGAATGTGTTTATACTAATACGATTACGCGTAAATAACGTGGATGCAGCGTTCGAGAAATATTTAATAGAATATAATCAGAACGTTGATAAAGTTTCGCGTGTATTATAAACTAAAGATAAACGGAGGATAATTCGTCATCGTTCTACAAAAGCCATCGATTTAATTTAATTAATGCGACATAAATGAATATTAAACGGAATAAATTTATTTTCGTATCTAATTACAATTTATGAAAATTATTCAACTTTGGACAATTGTGTTTTGTCATTTATGTTCTCATAAAATTATACCTCTTTTGTAATGAAAACGTTGGATCGATGTTTGCACGCGCGCAGAATGAAAGCAATATCGAAGCAAGGAAAAATAAATAAATTTGATTTAAAAAATTAAAAAGCGAATCGTGATTATTATTTAAACGATCAAACGTCACATTATTATAATATTATCTGAGAGAAGAATTGAAATCTAAATTGAAAAAAAGGAATCCTGGTGTGATATGCAACTAAAAATTTCAATCAACAAATTTATTATAATTGGAAATTGAATTAATTGAATAAAAATAATCGTTCATCAAAGAAGCAATATTATTCATAACCGATATATTCGGCATAACTAACGTTGATTACCTGTCCATTTCCTGGATACACAGCCACCAATACAAATGTATGCTTTGCCACCACGGAAAATGTCTCGTTCAAAATGCAGAAACCATGGAACCGCCATCGAGCTAACAGATCGGAAATGTTTGCCCGACGACAGCTCGTATTGCGCAAACACCTATTCTTCTCTTTGATTTTCGATTCACACTATATATTTAAGCTGCTGCCAATCGTCCAATAAATAATAAACTATGTCTTTCATCGATCAAATCGTCTGCTGCTAATAACATTTTCTTCTTCTTCTTTTTCTTTTGAGAAGAAAATTATTATATGTTTAAATGTACGAAAGAATTTCATATAAAAATAGATGCATAGAGCGGTGCTGATTCTGCACGTGCAGAATATAAAATCGAGAAGGAAGAGCAACAACCGCTCTGTCTTCGTCGTACCTCTTAGCCTCGCTCTATTTTTATCTTGCTTCATACAACGCAAACTTTTTATTAATTACTTTCACAAATGAATCTCTATAGATCCTTTCTTATATTTATCTTCAAAATCGATCCTCCAGAAAGATATTTTATAAATTAACATCATACGCGAAATAAGAATACATAATCAAATTTAAAATTTTTTAATTTTTAAGTACCTCGACAGATTTGGGTATTAATCCGTTGAAAAAGTAGTTGAAAATTTCGAATAAGGTTACTTTAAGTAATTATTAAAAATAATATTTACTCTTTTCCCTATAACCTCGATTGTTTGGCAATTACAATTATTTCCGCATTATTATTACAATATTGTCTTGAACAATAAATTATCGAAGTAACTTTATTCGCATACATAACCTTCGACCATTAAATTTTGCCCATCACTGTGTACCACGATATCAAAATTAAATACTTTGTATATCGAGTCGTTTATATTTTCTCTTCTTTTCTATTTCTATCTCTTCGAAACAAGTGTATCGTCGTTAACCACAGATTTCCAAACAACAAAGCAGAGTCGTTTCACGGTTGGAATAAAAGGTAATTGCAAACCTGATTAGAGTCCAGGCCCCAGAAGTCGAGTTCCTCCTCGAAAAGTGGTCCGCAGACGTCTGTTGGGTAATGAAGTTTTCCCGTACGATAGTAATTCAATACTTGGGCGAAGACGCCCGGATGCCGGTCGTAAAAGTACTCGTTCAAAACAGGGTCGTAATTGACCAGTGCTTCGGTTAAACGCGATAACCTGGTCGCTGGTATTTTCCTCAACGTGGATTTGTAAGTCTCGTGCCGTACACCACCAACGTTCAGGATCACACGGTCGTTCCATCTGCCGTCATCCAGTTTCCTCATCTTTCCCGACTTTCGTGGATCGCATGGTACGAGGAGATGCTCGAATGATAACTTTCGGATCCTAGCTCTCTCCGATGGTAACAGCTGTGCGTGAAATAACGATTTTAATGGAACGATGATACGTGCGCTGAGTATTTTATCGATAATTTGTTTAACTTTTTTTCACAAATAATGTTTAAACTTATTTATGGGTGATGTTCGAAATTGTCGTTATAAAAGTTTTATAAAAATGTTTCCTCGAAACTTGGTCAATTTAGAATCTTTTTTACATAAAAGTATTTCTTGTCGGATTAGAATAATCTTCATTGTAATTCACGTGAAAAGAGTTCGAGAATTAGTATTACAAAACTCTTGGGAAAATCGATAAGAGAATAGGTTAAAAATAAGAATTATTTCGCGAGGAAATCATCGATTGTGCAATTTAAACGAAGCCTTTCATCGATGATACGTTATATTCTTTTAATAGCTACAATTTGTATCGTTTGTTTGAAGAAATCTTTATTTCTTTCGAGAAATAACGAATTGAATCGAACATTTTATTTGTACATTAATTTACTAATTAATTATTATTGATTAAACCGATTTGATTAGTTGATATAAGATCAAAATCGTTTCTTTTTTTTCCTAAATTTTTCCAAAAATTTAGTCTTACTTTCCACGTAATAAAACATATATATACACGCGCGCGCAACACAAAGAATGCCGGAATATATTTATATAATATATTTTGGAAGATGCTTTTATTTTTAGAACTTGAATTTCTTGCTATTTGCTCAAGTTAGAGTTTAAATATTTTATGGAAATACTATCGTGATTAATTTTTTAGAAATAATTATTATCTTTTTTAGAAATTAATATTATACGAAATAATAATATTTAATATTCAAATTTTGTAAATAATTCATACGTACATTTATATGGAAAAAGATGTAGATGGATAGATAAGTTTAAAACAATATTACTTTAATATTATTATATTTTAATAAAATCCTTGTTACACAAACACGTTTCAACAATCACATTTTTATCAGGCACCAATATTGTATGTAGAATTATATTTTCACAAAATTTAATCAATAAGATATATAATAATAATGATATAATTTATTTATTGCATATATTATTTCATTTCTCGTTTATATTTCTGTTTTGTAAGTAAGCGTAAAAATTTTATAGTATACACTCGAAAAATAATTTACTCGAAATTAAAAAAAATATATATTCACTTCGCACCTCGACACGTTACTGATGGAGAGAATATCGACGATTCTCCGCGGTCGAAGAATTCACGGGGAGGAATAACCGAACAGCACGAGTTCTATAAATTCGACTCTGTTTATTTATGTGGCCAACCGCGAACGTTCGTGTTACCATCGAATCGCGAACCGACGAAATCGATCCATTCTGGATACGAGATGGAAAATATTTACTTTCCCATCAAAGAGTCGTTCATCCTTTATTCACGTGAAGATTAATTAATATTAATGTGCACATTTCATGGTAAGCGTAAAATATCGTTTTATCTACGATCATAGAAGAAGTAATATAAAATATACTTAAAATTCAATACATTTTTTTATTCACTATCTCCATTATTATTAAGATATCACTCTCAATATTTATAATATATATAAACTATTATAAAACGGATAATTGAAGTTTCAAAATATTGGAAGGATTCGATAAATGAAATTCTTCGATAGAAGATTTTGATACCTTTCAGATTTCAAAATTCGTTTCTAATTCTGTTAAAATATCGAGACATATTATGTTTAGATAAAAATAGAATATGAATTTTATATTTTTTACATTAAAGATTAAGACATATTATAATTTCGAATTTTTAGATGAAATAAGTACAGTCAAAATAAATTGAAATGGAAGAATAGATATTCAAGTAAAAATTGATCATTAGCGCTATCTTTTGTTAAAACATTTTACTAAAGATCAAAAAATTCTTAATTCTTAATTTTCTATTTTACCGTGTAAAGATATATTAACATAATATTAATTCCACGATTTCTATTTGATATTTGAAACTTATATGTATAAACCAAATATGTATTTTTTAATTGTAGTACAAAAAATGGAAAAAAATGGAACCTTATTTTTCAATAAGATATAACGATAAGCAACAATAGAAAATAACTTTTAAAAAATTTATATTAACCAACATTTCATTACTATATTTGAGAAACGACGATGGATAAAATTTTAGAAAAAATAGTCTCAAGAAAACTAAATAGAAAAAACTTTAGATAAATTGTTAATAAAGCATAATATAATTATTATATTATATTTTTTACATATGTTTTATTTACATTGTTGAATATACTATACTTACTATATATATAGATCTTGTTGTTAATGCTAAATAATAATTTAAGCTAAATAATGATAAAGTTCAAATTAAAATGAAAAATCGTTAGTCCGTCAATCTAGTTATCTTCAAATATATATCCGTAAAAGGAGATAAAAGTAGTGCACGTGGATGAAATTTATAAGGAATTAACGTTTTATCGCAAACATCAAGCTTGAAATTTCGAAGAATTTTTATCAATCCAATTTTTACTTGATACACAGCAAATCGTGCACCTGGAACAAAATTCTAATTAATATCGTACAATTATCATTTTATTTTTTTATATTATCTTTGATTTTAAATTTCTACTATACAAGTGCATACCAATGCAATTTCTTGGTCCGTGACCAAAAGGTGAAAAATGCATAGGATGTCTTTGTTTTATCTTATCCTCTGAAAATCTTTCAGGATCAAATTTTTCTGGATCAGGATAAATATCTGGATCGTGATGAATGGCGTAAATAGGTATCCATATTTTTAATCCTTTCGGAAGTGTCACTTTATTACTTTCGAAAGTATAATCATCAATTATTTCTCTGTTTAAAAATGGCAGAGATGGATATTTTCTTAGAGTCTCTGTAAATATAGGATAAGGAATTAAAAAGAATAAAATTATGAATAAAACTATAAATAAAATTACAAATAATCGTTCAAAATGTTAATACGTTAGTGGTACACTAATACCTTTGAAGATTTTTAGTGACCAAAACGAATGAAAATTAATTTCGTTAGATGAAGACATAAAATATACCAACTATCGTATTTAGGATTGACTCTTTAAATTCTTACGAACATATTAATATTTGCTATAAAGTAAAATGTAAATTAAAATAATTAGGCACACGAAGAAATAAAATTTAAATCTTGGTTTGAAAGTTAGAAATTACACTTGAAAAAACTATTTAGTAGTATTCACCTTGAAAAACTTTTCCCAAATATTCCATTTCCTTTATGGTTTCGTACTTCCAATCTCCATCATTTTTTTCTTCAAATTCTTTGATTTCTTTTCGTAACTTGTCCTGAATATCAGGATTCAAAGCTAATTCATAAAGAGCATTGCTAATCGTTGTTGACGAAGTCTCGAAACCGGCAACAAAAAAAATAAACGTTTGTGCCGCCAATAATTCATTTGTTATGTCTAAAATAGGAAAAAAAAGAATAGAAAAATTTTTGAATACAAAATAATTATTATAAACAAACAAAGATTATTACTATTTAATTTAGTTGAACAGCGTTATTTTAAGCAATTATATTTTAAAAAATAAAATATTAATAATTATAATAAATAATATATAATATAATGAATAATGTTAACTTGCAATAAAATCATTAATAAAATAAGTATTAAAAAAAAGATACCAAAATTGCCAAGTTATAAACATTTTTTTACAAACTTTTTA